TAAGCGTCCCTAAGCGTCCTCGCTCAGGCCTCGGGCTGCCTCGCTGGCCGTCCGAGGCCGTGGCGCATTCCCATTACAGTTTAGGACCTGGGGTAGCAACGCTGTGTAGGCGGGGCATCTGTGCAGACATCCTGGAAAACTTTCACATTTCGAGTTGTTCCGTCGAGCTCCCGCTGGATTTTATCATCCCCAATGAGATGTAGGAACGTCGTCACCTTCCTCGGTCGACCACGGTGTGCTTTTCTTTGACGTTGCCATTTTTGTAGCTCATCTGTTTACAAAAATGCTGTTTATAAAAATGCTGCAAGCTTGCTTCTAAATATATATGCGACGCTAGGGATGATCTCGCGCGCGATCTTGTGACGATTCTCTCTGACCAATCAGCAGTCGAGAGTGTTGACGTCACTAGTTCAGCTCTGGCCCTGGTCTGATAGAACCACGATTTTATGGGGCCGGAAAAAGAGGGGAAGAGTACCCGCTAGCCGGTACTAGGCTATATGGAAAGGCCACCAAAAACTGGCCTGGCCGCTTGAGGACGATTAAGGACACTTAAACGGGGCTACCCGCTGCAGTGGAAATGCGCCATAAGTTGCTCCATTTGCCGCTCGTCGTCATACAAGTGTTAGCAGCGCTGTATTTATTATCTGTGTTCAGCGATACTATTTTGATATTCTTGTTTATATTTGTGATCAGATTAAAACGACATATCGTGATTCTATCATTTATCATTTCAGTGAGACGTATCGAAAGATGGCTGAGCGGCTAATTAGGATCTTGTCATCCTGTCTTTACAAGCTTAAAAAAAAATTGAAAATAACATCTGAATATGGCGTTAACAGATTAATATAAAAAAAAAAGCCAAGGTTTGTTTACCCGTTCAATCAAGCAAGTCCCACAAAACATAAATCCACATTTATCTCAAAATAAGTCTCTGCATCCATTTGATTTTGATAAAGCAGGTCACATATATTCTTAATATGCATCATATTCCTCGTACCTCCATCACTCCATTCTCCCTGCAGATGAAGCACCAGTGGCTCGGTTCTGTTTTTCCTTGCCCGTCGCTTCCATAAATCCCGTGAATCCCGTAGCTGCGTCCCATTTCATCTCTTCCATGCGCAGCGCTGGCGTTTGAGTCTCCGTACAGCATCTCCTCCTCGTCATCCACTAAGTTGCTACTGTACACACACACATTTAAAGGTCCCCTGTTATACTGCTCTTAATCAATATATCACAGGTCTCAGATATATACAGAGCCTGTCTCTGATTGGCTGAAACACCAAACAAATCATTGCAGCATTACCCATAATCCCCTCTGTTTCAGCCCTGTTTCCAAAGTACTGATTCTCTGTCTGTTACTTTAGATGAAAATAAGGAGCCCCTCCCCACGCCCCTCTGAGAGACATTTGGTTACAAAGTCAGAATTTTGAGAAAAAATCTGAATTTTTGAGAAAATGTCAGAATTTTGAGAAAATGACAGAATTTTGAGATTTTGCAAAAAAGTCAAGATTTTGAGAAAAAGTCTGCCATTTACATGCACTAAAACCTGTATAACACACTACAGGAGAGGGGACAGAACACAATGGTGCTCTAGGAGGAGATTCAGGTGATAAGGTAGGGGGGGGGGGGGTTACCTTGGTTGCTGATTGGCTAATGGTTACACAAGCCAAAACATCGTTATGACATCACAAAGTGGCCAAAATCTGATCAGCTCATTTTCAGACAGGTTTTTATAGAAATGGATCAAAAAGAGAGAGAATCTTTGTTCCTGAAACTTCAGAGTCTCTTTCCACAGAGGGGACACATGTTGATGTAGAAGAGACATGAAGAAGAGGGGACACATGTTGATGTAGAAGAGACATGAAGAAGAGGGGACCACATGTTGATGTAGAAGAGACATGAAGAAGAGGGGACACATGTGATATAGAAGAGACATGTTAGAAGAGACTGAAGAAGAGGGGACACATGTTGATGTAGAAGAGACATGAAGAAGAGGGGACACATGTTGATGTAGAAGAGACATGAAGAAGAGGGGACACATGTTGATGTAGAAGAGACATGAAGAAGAGGGGACACATGTTGATGTAGAAGAGACATGAAGAAGAGGGGACACATGTTGATGTAGAAGAGACATGAAGAAGAGGGGACACATGTTGATGTAGAAGAGACATGAGAAGAGGGGACACATGTTGATGTAGAAGAGGACATGAAGAAGAGGGGACACATGTTGATGTAGAAGAGACATGAAGAAGAGGGGACACATGTTGATGTAGAAGAGACATGAAGAAGAGGGGACACATGTTGATGTAGAAGAGACATGAAGAAGAGGGGACACATGTTGATGTAGAAGAGACATGAAGAAGAGGGGACACATGTTGATGTAGAAGAGACATGAAGAAGAGGGGACACATGTTGATGTAGAAGAGACATGAAGAAGAGGGGACACATGTTGATGTAGAAGAGACATGAAGAAGAGGGGACACATGTTGATGTAGAAGAGACATGAAGAAGAGGGGACACATGTTGATGTAGAAGAGACATGAAGAAGAGGGGACACATGTTGATGTAGAAGAGACATGAAGAAGAGGGGACACATGTTGATGTAGAAGAGACATGAAGAAGAGGGGACACATGTTGATGTAGAAGAGACATGAAGAAGAGGGGACACATGTTGATGTAGAAGAGACATGAAGAAGAGGGGACACATGTTGATGTAGAAGAGACATGAAGAAGAGGGGACACATGTTGATGTAGAAGAGACATGAAGAAGAGGGGACACATGTTGATGTAGAAGAGACATGAAGAAGAGGGGACACATGTTGGTGTAGAAGAGACATGAAGAAGAGGGGACACATGTTGATGTAGAAGAGACATGAAGAAGAGGGGACACATGTTGATGTAGAAGAGACATGGAGAAGAGGGGACACATGTTGATGTAGAAGAGACATGAAGAAGAGGGGACACATGTTGATGTAGAAGAGACATGAAGAAGAGGGGACACATGTTGATGTAGAAGGGACATGAAGAAGAGGGGACACATGTTGATGTAGAAGGGACATGAGGAAGAGGGGACACATGTTGATGCAGAAGAGACATGAAGAAGAGGGGACACATGTTGATGTAGAAGGGACATGAAGAAGAGGGGACACATGTTGATGTAGAAGAGACATGAAGAAGAGGGGACACATGTTGATGTAGAAGAGACATGAAGAAGAGGGGACACATGTTGATGTAGAAGAGACATGAAGAAGAGGGGACACATGTTGATGTAGAAGGGACATGAAGAAGAGGGGACACATGTTGATGTAGAAGAGACATGAGGAAGAGGGGACACATGTTGATGTAGAAGGGACATGAAGAAGAGGGGACACATGTTGATGTAGAAGAGACATGAAGAAGAGGATTTTGCATAATAGGTGACCTTTAACACCGTAAGATAAACTGCGCAGGTGGCGGCTGGCTGTACGTGTCAGTGAGGAGGTGATGCACTTACCTGAGGTCATGGATGATGGTCTCTTCCTCGGACTGATTCCCAGTGACGGCGTCCTCTTTTTGGACGGAGAAGTTCGCTCTGTTTTCCGTGGTGAACATGCCACTGACGTCTCGGTACGCACACAGCGTGACCACGCGGGATTGCTGTTCAATTAGACGTGGTTTTAAACATGTTAAAGTTAAATGTAGACTCCAGATCAGGGTTTCCGCTAGGATTTTTTCTCGCCGGTCAAATGTCCGAACAGAATTTATTTTACCGGACAAATTTGAAACTTACCGGTCATGTTTCAATAATAATAATAAGAGTTGTGTAGCAGAGTTTCCGTTAGCAGGTAATCACCGGACTCTGACCGGATATGCTGGTGTTTAAAACTCAGTTAATGGGAGTCATTTTTATATTGCTTCAGTTTATAATCGTAACAGATCGAAAAATTCAGATTCATTTTTCAATAAATGATTCCACAAACAACAAACAACATCATTATTACATTCAAAGAAACTACTTGTAGTAGATGAAGTACATTATTCAAAAGTTTACATTAACTTAAGAAGAATAACACGGGAGAAACGGATCCTCTCTTTTCCTCTCTCTCCTGACAGCCCGTCAGTTTCTCATGCAGCGCACTAAACAGTGGGCGGGGCTTCAGGTGATTATGGAGCAGCTGATCTGATCTCTCTCTCACGTCCGGTTATACTTCACTCGCGTTTATGTCCATATCGATCAGATCCAGCTCTCCTGATCGGCCTTTATAGAGAGCACCGATCAAACTATTAAGAGTGAATATCGGCCGATAATGACCGGCGGGCAATCGATAGGAGCATCGGACATTTTGACCGGCAAGTTTTGAATTTACCGGTTTTTATTACATTTTACCAGCTAAAAACCGGTAATTACCGGCTAACGGAAACCCTGCTCCAGATGTATTATTATTTTGTGTATTTTTAATATGAAATGCATATTTAAAGGTCTGCTGAGGAGGAGGGTTAACTCACGGTGGGGATCTGTGGTTTCTGCAGCGACAGCCTGTGAGTTTTCCCCATGTAGGAGTCGGTCTTCAGAGCAAACATGGTGACGACTCCCTCTGCGGTCATGATGACGACGTAAGGGTCCGCCACGGAGCAATGCACTATGGGGGATCCCAAATCCACAGGGATGAAGTGGAGCTGTGTCACTGAGGGAAGATACAGAGAGAGCAGGTCAGTGAAAGGTCTTGTGTTGTGTTGGAAAGCTGTTACCGTTCATGGTGTTCGCCGGTCGATTTAGATTATTATCCAAAACACAAAGAAAAAATGACTATCATCCAATACTGTTTTAACTACATCAGAACTAACTTATAATGCATTCATAACCGTACAATCCTGTTGTAATTAGGGATGGGTATCGTTAAGGTTTTAACGGTACTACTACTTTTATCGATACCGCTTATCGGTCCGGTCTTTTAACGGTACTCTTATCGGTTCTTTTGGAGATTTAAAAAAAAAATTAACTAAACAAATTGTGAACAAAACTAACATTGCTTTTTATTTAAATTAAATACATAATATTTCCCTCTCTGAAGAACCAGCACCTTACCGTGGTAGAGAGGTTTGTGTGCCCTGATGAACCTGGGGGCTGTGTTGTCTGGAACCTTGTGTTCCTGGTAGGGTTTCCCATGGCAAATTGGTCTCAGGCAAGGGGCCAGACTAAGATTGGTTCAAAAGACCTCATGAAAGACGATACAAGAAGTGAGGATACCCGGCCCGGAGGAAGCCCGGGGTCCCCTTCTGGAGCCAGGCCCAGAAGGAGGACTCGTCGGCGAGCGTCTGGTGGCCGGGCTTGCCACGGAGCCCGGCCGGGCCCAGCCCGAAAAGGCAACGTGGGCAACACCTCCGCTTCTCCGTCCCGCGGGCCCACCACCTACGGGAAACAGCGATGGGGTCGGGTGCGCTGCCAGAAGGGTGGCAGTGAAAGCGGAGGGTCTCGACGGACCAGACCCGGGCGACAGAAGCTGGCTTTGGGGACGTGGAACGTCACCTCTCTGGGGGGGAAGGAGCCGGAGCTTGTGCGGGAGGTGGAGCGTTACCAGTTGGATCTGGTTGGGCTCACCTCTACGCACAGCGTCGGCTCTGGAACCTTACTTCTGGATAGGGGTTGGACTCTATTCTTCTCCGGAGTTGCTCAAGGTGTGAGGCGCCGGGCGGGTGTGGGGATACTCACAAGTCCCCGGTTAGGTGCTTCTTTGTTGGAGTTTACCCCAGTGGACGAGAGGGTCGCCTCCCTACGCCTGCGGGTTATGGGGGGGAAAACTCTGACTGTTGTGTGTGCTTATGCACCCAACAGCAGTTCAGAGTATACGGCCTTCTTGGAGACCCTGGAAAGAGTCCTGTATGGGGCTCCTGAAGGGGACTCTTTAATCTTGCTGGGAGACTTCAACGCACATGTGGGCAATGATGGAGACACTTGGAGGGGCGTGATTGGGAGGAACGGCCCCCCTGATCTGAACCGGAGTGGTGGTTTGTTACTGGACTTCTGTGCTAGTCATGGATTGGCCATAACAAACACCATGTTCGAACATAAGGATGCTCATAAGTGTACGTGGTACCAGAGCACCCTAGGCAGAAGGTCCATGATCGATTTCGTTATCGTATCATCGGACCTGAGGCCGTATGTTTTGGACACTCGGGTAAAGAGAGGGGCGGAGTTGTCAACTGATCACCATCTGGTGGTGAGTTGGGTCGAGTGGCGGGGGAAGCCTCTGGATAGACCTGGTAAGCCCAAACGTGTAGTTCGGGGTGAACTGGGAACGTCTGGAGGAGGCCCAAGTTCAGGAGGCCTTCAACTCACACCTCCGGCGGAGCTTTTCGGGCATTCCTGTGGAGGTTGGGGACATTGAACCAGAGTGGTCGGTGTTCAAAGCCTCTATTGCCGAAGCCGCGGCGGGGAGCTGTGGTCTCAAGGTCCTAGGTGCCTCAAGGGGCGGTAACCCTCGAACCTCCTGGTGGACACCGGTGGTCAGGGAAGCCGTCCGACTGAAGAAGGAGGCCTTCAGGGATTTGTTATCCCGGGGGACTCCCGAGGCAGTTGCAAGGTACCGACAGGCCCGAAGGGCAGCAGCCTCATCCGTGGCCGAGGCAAAGCAGCGGGTGTGGGAGAAGTTCGGAGAAGACATGGAGAAGGACTTTCGGGCGGCACCAAAGTTGTTCTGGAAAACTGTCCGACACCTCAGGAGGGGGAAGCAGGGAACCATCCAAGCTGTGTACAGTAAGGATGGGACGTTGTTGACCTCAACTGATGGAGTGTTAGGGCGTTGGAAGGAACACTTTGAGGAACTCCTGAACCCGACAACTCCGCCCTCTATGTTAGAGGCAGAGCTGGAGTATGACGGGGGATCAACACCAATCTCCCGGGGGGAGGTCACTGAGGTCGTCAAACAACTCCACAGTGGCAAAGCCCCGGGGGTGGATGAGATCCGCCCGGAAATGCTGAAGGCTCTGGGTGTTGAGGGACTGTCATGGTTGACACGTCTCATCAACGTTGCGTGGAAGTCGGAAACAGTACCGAAGGAGTGGCAGACCGGGGTGGTGGTTCCCCTATTTAAAAAGGGGGATCAGAGGGTGTGTGCCAATTACAGAGGCATCACACTACTCAGCCTCCCCGGGAAAGTTTACTCTAAGGTACTCGAAAGGAGGGTCAGGCCGATTGTCGAACCTCAGATTGAGGAGGAACAATGCGGATTCCGTCCTGGTCGTGGAACGACGGATCAGCTTTTTACTCTCGCAAGGATCCTGGAGGGGGCCTGGGAGTACGCTTATCCGGTCTACATGTGTTTTGTAGACTTGGAGAAGGCGTATGACCGAGTTCCCAGGGAGTTACTGTGGGAGGTGCTGCGGGAGTATGGGGTGAGGGGGTCTCTACTCAGGGCCATCCAATCTCTGTACTCTCAAAGCGAGAGCTGTGTCCGGGTCCTCGGCAGTAAGTCGGACCCATTTCCGGTGAGGGTTGGCCTCCGCCAGGGCTGCGCTTTGTCACCAATCCTGTTTGTAATATACATGGATCGGATTTCGAGGCGTAGTCATGGGGGAGGGGGTCTGCAGTTCGGTGGACTAAGGATTGCACCACTGCTTTTTGCAGATGATGTGGTTCTAATGGCTTCATCGGTCTGCGACCTTCAGCACTCACTGGATCGGTTCGCAACCGAGTGTGAAGCGGCTGGGATGAGGATCAGCACCTCCAAATCTGAGGCCATGGTTCTCAGCAGGAAACCGATGGACTGTCCACTCCAGGTAGGGAATGAGTCCTTACCCCAAGTGAAGGAGTTCAAGTATCTCGGGGTCTTGTTCTCGAGTGAGGGAACAATGGAGCGTGAGATGGGCCGGAGAATCGGAGCAGCGGGAGCGGTACTGCAGTCGCTTTACCGCACCGTTGTGACGAAAAGGGAGCTGAGCCAGAAGGCAAAGCTCTCGGTCTTCCGGGCCATTTTCGTTCCTACCCTCACCTATGGTCATGAAGGATGGGTCATGACCGAAAGAACGAGATCGCGGATACAAGCGGCCGAGATGGGTTTTCTCCGCAGGGTGGCTGGTGTCTCCCTTAGGGATAAGGTGAGAAGTTCGGTCATCAGGGAGGGACTCGGAGTTGAGCCGCTCCTCCTTCGCGTCGAAAGGAGCCAGTTGAGGTGGTTCGGGCACCTAGTTAGGATGCCACCTGGGCGCCTCCCTAGGGAGGTGTTCCAGGCACGTCCAGCTGGGAAGAGACCAAGGGGTAGACCTAGGACCAGGTGGAGGGATTATATCTCTTCGCTGGCCTGGGAGCGCCTTGGGATCCCCCAGTCAGAGCTGGTTGATGTCGCCAGGGAAAAGAAAGTTTGGGGCTCTCTGCTGGAACTGCTACCCCCGCGACCCGACCACGGATAAGCGGGAGAAGATGGATGGATGGATGGACATAATATTTCACATCAAAAGAAACAACAATGTTTTAACAAATCGTATTAAATAATGTGATGACAGAACTGTAAACGGAATAGCTGAAACTTTAACAAATAAATAACTCAGTTTCCTCTAATCATTAACCCATGTTTGTATCATTGAGTTAACTCCGTGTGTTGCTGCTAGCATACATAACACCTGACGTGGAAACGTTACTCGTGGATGGAGCTACAGAGCTGCTAGAAAGACAGTTGAACCCGGTGCATTCCTCCGTCTGGATGTGGAGCACTTTTGATAAATGTTTAGACACATTGCTCGTGTTACCGCCCTCACATGCTAAACTCTTATTGCACTTTAGGTAAAGTTTAACCACACCTCGGAGCGCGTTCTCTCCGCCATCTCCTCCGTGTGTGTGTGTTGCTGCATCTAGCAGCCGCGTGTGTGTAAACTGCCCCACCCCCTCGCAAGCAGGCGGGAGAGAGAGCGAAAATACAAAAATAATCATTTTGCAGTCTTTTTGCGTATTAGAAACGGAGTTGGCGAAACTAAAACTGCAATATAATGTTTGTGTAGCAATAATACATACGACATATTTTTTACATGTCTCCAGTACCGATAAAAAGACCGATAACGTCGGAGCTTAACGGTACCACGGTCTTTAATAATTCAGCCCGGCCGGGGCCCGTTTAATACCGCGGCTCGGTACCCATCCCTAGCTGTAATGTAATGGCCCCAAAACAGATTACACCACATATTGTTCAGGTTCAAGTGTTAGTGCACATATTCTTTGAGAAAGGGGGAGTTCCCGTGGGGGGAGGGGGGCAGGGGGAGGGGAGACCAGGTGCATGTTGCCAACAATTATTGTTACAGTGTATGAAGGGGGTGGGGGAGGGGTGTCTAAAGTCAAAGATGGATCTTGATTGGGCCAAATTTGACCTCGAGTGACCCACGACAATTCTGCCGGGTCTCCCCAGACCCCAACACCAAATGATACACTTTTTTTTTTAGAGACCTTCAGACTTGGCTAAAATTGTCCAAATGAGTTTTGTAGTGTTTATATATCTGTTGTGGAGGATATCATGCAGCCTGGATCCGATACAAAAAACTAGAGCGTAGTTATTATATCATTTTAACTTGAAAGGGGTCACGAGAGACCCGAACACAACATAAGGGTTAAAGGTCAAAGATGGGTTCAGGTAAGAGTAAAACAGGAACATGTGTTGTCTGGGGATGCAAAATGGATGAAAGGGAAGTTTGAAAGGAATATAAAAAGGTTAGAAAAGTGTCAAAATAACTATAACTTCAGGGGAAGACTAGGGGTAGAGGAATGTGAGAATTTGGTTAGGGGTATCGTCAAATATCTGGAGCAAGCTCCCAGAAACCTGCAGGTCCGCTGCTTTTAAATCCAGGCTGAAGACTTTTCTTTTTGCCGCTGCTTTTAGTCGAACTATTCCCATCTTTTATTCATGTGCCTGAGTTATTCATGTTTTATTATCTTTGCTTTTTAATGTTTCTAATGTGTTTTATGCTCTTAATGTCTTTCATTTTTCTAAAGCACGTTGAATTTCCTTGTGTTGAAAAATGCTATATAAATAAACGTACTTTAATATTGTCAATTTGACATGTTTGCATCATCATCTACTAACAGAATTGTATTACATACAAAATATGGACTATAGGACTCAAATACTGGATTCAAACAGAATTACTAGACGTTATTTGTACCTCCTTCCAGCAGTCGAATACCCATGGGAGAGACTTGGATGATGTACTTGTTGTCACCGATGTTTCCAGCAAACACAGTTGGACCCTGAGTAGCAAAACCACTGGTGTCCAGCTCCATGATCTCCTGCCCCGTCTGCAGGATCTGCACACAGACAATTAACACCACATCACAACTAAATAACATAGGTTTTGTTTTTCTATCAATCTTCTATTTACAAAACGCTGCGGCTTACAGGAACACGCAAGCATGACCACATCACACCTATTCTGGCTTCCTGTCCATTTTAGAGTTCATTTTAAGATGTTATTGTTTGTTTTTAAATCGCTTAATGGGCTGGCCCCTCAGTACATCTCCGACCCCAGGGTTCATACACTTTTTCACCAATGATTTTCAATGACTTCTCACCTAATTTTTCATGACCAAAAACATGACTCTTTCTCAGCGGTTCCACTGAAAATGGTTTATTTGAACATGGAACAGGAAAATAAGGTCTGAAACATGTTGTGCCTATCTAACAAATCCAATAGGCTTACTAGCTTCTACGCGCTAAAGCAACTACAATCTCTCACCAGCAAAACACCTCGACAGTTAAATGCCATTTTACGTTTCATTACTATACGATACAGTATGTATCATCATTATAGTATTACTATTTCGGCGATTAGATAAAATATAAATTATATTTGATGCAACTTTAGTTACATTTCCATGACTTTTCCAAATCTTTGGGAAAAATATTGTTTTTCAAAACTTTTCCAGGGCCTGGAATTTGCATTTTGAATTTCCATGACTTTTCCAGGTTTTTAATGACCGTAAGAACCCTGAAACCCCCTCAAGGGCTTTGAGGTCGGCTGATCAGCTGCTGCTAGTCCCTAAAACCAGCGGTAGCCCCCAGGCTCTGGAATGACCTGCCCCCCCCCCCCCGTGTCAAATTGTCGCCCACCCTCCAAACTTTTAAGTCCCGCCTAAAGACCCACCTCTTTTCCCTCGCTTTCGAGTCAGCCTGAGTTATGTTTTATCGATTTTTATGCTTTTATTGTCTGTCCATAATCTTTGTGTACCTTGTATTAATTATTATGTGTGCCTTTTATCTATTATTGTAATATTATATTTTATTATAATGTTATGTTTGCTGTGAAGCACTTTGGTAAACCCTCTGTTTTTAATATGTGCTATAGAAATAAAGTGGATTGGATATTTGTTGAAATCTAAAGTCCCTGGACATCAGACGTGTGTTTGTACCATGGTTGAATCCTCTCTGCTCAGAATGAGGAAGCCGTGTTTCTTCTTATCGTCTTCTATAGGAGGCTCAGTCTTCTTCTCCTCCTCCTGTTGTTTCTCTTTCTCCTTCTCTTCCTTCTCTCCATCTTCTCCGTCCTCACCGGTGTCCGCACCGTCCTCTGAATCCTCACTTTTTGCAGCCTGTGAAAAGAATGAGAAACATCTAACTTGTGTGGAATAGAAACTCCCTCTGGATTTTAGCCTCTGCAGACCATTTACATGCACACAAACCTTTATAACACACTACAGGAAAGCAGAATAGGGCCTTCCAGTCACACGTTAAAATAAACAAGAGGCAGTCTAAAGATAGAGTTATTTGATTTGATGGAAGGCAGCAGCTAAAGGTTATTAGGCAGAAACACAATCAAATGTGTTAAGAGGATCAAGTTCCCAATCATTCCTGATTCAACTTTTGCATTTTGGAGGACACTGGACGGGGTGTCGCGGGGAGGAGGTGCTGCCGTACTGACATTTATTAAGTTGACGAAACACTCGAGTCAAATGTAATTAAAGTCAGATCCACTCGTGTCTTCGACGGGGCAGTGATATCAAAAACCTGTTAATGCAAACACTTTTTCTTGTACCAGCTGTATTCACCTTGCAAGTTCCCATCAGCAAAAACACGTGGGTTTGCTGTCCTGGCTCCAAAATGGTGGAATGAGCTCCCCATTGACATCAGGACGGCAGATAGCTTACACACCTTCCGGCGCAAACTGAAAACTCATCTCTTTCGACTCCACTTTGAGCGTTAGAACTATTAACAAAGCACTTTTATACTAATAAAGGACTGGCTTATCTAAAGCCAGTTGAGTAGCACTTGAAATGTTTGGCTCTATGAAACCTGATGTACTTATATGATTCTGTTTTCTTCAAGGTTGTGTCTTCCTGGTCGAATGTACTTATTGTAAGTCGCTTTGGATAAAAGCGTCAGCTAAATGTAATGTAATGTAATGCAGGTGCAGCTATGTGGCTTTGATCCTGGATAAAGTGTTTAAGTCATGGATGTTTAAAGTTTAACTTCTTCATATTTGTCTAATATTAAAGTTCACTTTTCATTCAGGAAGTATGACGCTGCGCTGTCAGTGCGCTTCTCCATGTTTGTGATTGGTCAAATGTCGCTAACCCCGCCCCTTTCATGTGAACGCGCACATAACTAGATAGGGCAAAGCTGGCTTGAGTTACCGAGTTGATAACCAGCGTCGTAGGACCGCTTAGCGAGAGCGCGTTTGTTTTGGGTTAGTTAAGATAACTCAGACATATCCAGGGTCTGTTGAACTGGATTCGTCGTACAGGCCTCTGGTGTTGAGCAATATTTACATGTTACTCTACCTATTTTTCTATAAAGTGAAGATTTGTTTACCTACCTGTAATACATGCCCTGATAAAATAACTGTATGCTGTTGAAAAAACCCAATAAACAAAGTTTAAAAAGAAAGTACCTTTTTGTCTTCAGCTTTGACTTCATTGGAGATGACCGTCCACATGTCGTGGCATCCTGGCAACTCAAACGTAGTGACTACCTGGGGTCGGATGCTTCTCTGAGAACAGAAAGGAATCAAAATCAGAGGCAATACACGGTACATTTCCAGGCTTCCAACACAATATATTTACAGTATTTGCCACCATATTATAATAACAATAAAGCTTTATTTATATAGCACTTTAAATACAACACATGCAGCTCAAAGTGCTTTACAAAATGACACATCACAAGTTAAAAACAAACAACAAGAAATTCCCCTCAGATTGTTTGTTAAGAACTTTAAAAAGGTACATGCAGCAAAATATAACATTTGATCAGGTTAATAGACACAAGGAGGTCAAAGGTGTGACATACAAATAAAATAAATAATGGTTTGTCTCTGACAGATAAGACACAAGACAACAAGTCGATGCAACAATATAACATATAGGTACTTGGACGTGGTATTGACACCATGTGCAGAAACAGAGTACTACCTGGCCACCGAATGTTGAAGAGGAAAGCTAAAGACATTATAGCCTTTGCATCTATCTTAGCACGTAGAAGAATACTCCTAGAATGGAAATCTTCTATACCGCCTAAAGCATCTCTCTGGCTTAAAGATTTAATGTTGTACCTGAACTTGGAGAAGATTAAATATAACCTGAGGGGCTCCTCAAAACTATTTGAATCTGTCTGGGGCTCTATGATAGCCTACTAGCTGAACTTAAGACACTAAATTAAGAAGAAAGGGGGGGAACTACGAATATATGTGTGTGTTTTTTTTCCTTTTCTTCCTTGCGTCTCTTTTTATCTGTTTGTTATATTAATTTTCATTTATTTATTTGTATTTATTTGTTCTGTCTTTGTATACATGTATGTATGTATGTGCATGTGTGCATGTGTACATGTGTGTGGGTATGTACACACACGTATGTGTATGTGTATATGTGGTAAGGATGCCAGTGATTATTCGATTATTTGAATATTCGTTACAGTCTCCATAATCGAATATTATTTTTAAAAATCGATTTTATTTATATATTTTTTTATTATTATTTATGTTTTTTTTTTTTTTTAAATCTGGCTTAGTTTCAACCAAAATATAGACTAATGCTAATAATAGTATTAATAATTATAAATGGCCATTGGTCACACCACCAGTTTGTTTTACTGTAAACTTGGAGGAAGCCTGCGTGCAGAGCAGACTGCTGCTGCAGCACGCTACACACCGCCCCCGCCCCCCCTCTCCCTCACACGTGCGACTAAAGATGAACAAAGCGGCAGGTAAAAAGAGTTCCTCCTCGTGGAACTACTTCGAACTTATAAGTACAAAGGAAGTGAAATGCAAATGCAATTTATTTTTATTTTTTTGGGGGGGGGGGGGGGGGTGGGGGGGGGTCGGTCGATTAATCGATTATTATTCGCCAGGGCTGCCGAATAATCGATTTTGATCATGGTCAGTTTCTGGCAACCCTAATATGTGGGTATACATATGTGAGTATATGGGTACAAGTATTACTGTTACTATTCTTTATTCCCTTATCTATACATTTTCATTTAATATTATCTTCTACATTACTTTAACCTATACATGTATCGATTTTATTTAGTTAGTTATTTAATTTACTAGCTAGGACCGGGAGGGGGGGAAAGGGGAAAAATAAATAAAAATATTGACTGTATAAATGTGAACTCATTGTGCCTGACTCAATAAAAAACATATAAAAAATAAATAAAATAAATAAATAAATAAAATAAATAAAATAAATAAAATAAATAAAATAAATAAATAAATAAAATAAATAAAATAAATAAAATAAATAAAATAAATAAAATAAATAAAATAAATAAAATAAATAAATAAATAAAATAAATAAAATAAATAAAATAAAATAAATAAAATAAATAAAATAAATAAATAAATAAAATAAATAAAATAAATAAAATAAATAAAATAAATAAAATAAATAAAATAAATAAAATAAATAAAATAAAATAACATATAGGTACAACAGAAATCTTAGGTCACAGGCTCCTCCAACAGTGCAACACAATTAAACAGATACAATAGTGCAAGTAATTGGAATATTGATATATATATGAGTTGCAAACAGATGAATGTTATGGATGTTCTTTCAGAAGTTCAGGTGTTTAACAGACGTATGGCCTGTGGGATGAAACTGTCCCTTTGTACACTTCCAGGCTTCCAACACCATAGAGGGCCACAGTGACGCATCCTAAAACACGGAAGTACGTTAGCATGTTACCACTTCCGGTTCCTTCGACAAAAAAGCAATTCAATCTCTCCATAGGGTTTAGGAAACTCTCTGGAACTAAGGTCTGTGGTTGAGACACATTGAAGAGACGGGTCACGTTTTGTTCTATGACATTAAATCATCAGCAGTGGTGATTTCTGAATAGTTGACGTGTCTGAGAAACGATGGTTGTTACCAAGTGGCTGAACAGGACTACAGAAGTTGTTGAGGCCGTTGTACGTCATTACGCCGAACACGTAAAAACACTCTGTTCTGCTTGAAAGCAAGTCCCTGCCTCCTGCAGACTGTTCAAACAAACGCTTCAACTTGTTCCATTTAGAATCTGTAGTTTGAATATGGATCTGAAGTCGGCGTGACGTTGAAGCAACGACCCTGCTGTAGTTCGTTCATAGCATAACGTTAGCATTTTGCTTCTGGCGACTAGATTTATGATTCGAAAATGATAAAAGTAGGATAGACACGTGGAGATTATCCGGCTGAACAAAACGTGATCCGTCTCTTCAATGTGTCTCAACCACAGACCTTATTTCCAGCTGTTTTCCAAAATCCTATGGAGAGATTGCGTTGGTTTCTGTCGAAGGAACCGGAAGGAGCTTGCTTCCGGGTTTCAGGACGCGTCACTGTGGCACTCTATTTCTTTACAGTATTTGCCCCGACATGCTGGCACTACAAATAACACAAGAACTGTGAGCTTGTGTCTGGGGTGTTTACAGGCCACTCCTTCGATCTCTGAGGCAGCTGTGGTAGACCCAGACTTCACTTTAGCACCTTCTCTGGACCTGAGGCAGACGGCCCTCACCACCACAGGGTTTAGGATGGTGCCGTGACATTTATCATGCATATTCCTCATCAGTTACTCATGCAATTAAACAACAAAAGTGGGAGGATTTACCTGAAGGACGGACAGTGCGCCGTTCTTTCCGTATCCGGAGCAAACCACCACCTCCAGGTCAGGCTCTGGATTGTTTTGGAACTGTGTGTGATATTAGATGCACGTCAGAAATACAATTCTTTAGATGGTTAAAACCTGAACCTCCAATGTGTAACAATTGGATCCAGAAGGTTTGGGAGTTATACGAAATGGAGAAAATCACATATGCCTTACGGCAGTGGTTCCCAACCTTTTTTCCCAAGAGCCCCCCCAAATGACTCCTGTTGGAAGTTACGCCCCCCCCACACACACGGGGGGGGGGGGGGGGGGGGCAACAGCGGTAAATAAAGTTTAAAAGTCTCAAAATGCTACAACTACTGTCACAAACTGGATGAATGTGAAGTATGTTGTTAAAGGAGGGTGAAAGCGTAATTAAGGAGCACTATTGGAGTGACTTTGATGGTTATTGGACTCAGGATTAATTCATTTGGATTCCCGCTGTATGAAGAAATTAAAGGACGGCGCGGAAGTGCAAACAATTCACAAAGGGATCAAACTGTTTAAAACACATGCTCAAAGTAAGCCGGATTTTGCCGATGTGTTTCTGTGGATTCAAAAGTTGTAAATAATCTACAAAATGGAGGAGACCGATCTGATCGGAGCAACTGACAAATAATCCAACTGAAACCGGCATGGACAATGACTGTTTTAAAAATGCGCTTATCCAGAAAAGCCCAGTTTGGACACTTTACGGGCAGAAGAAACATTTCTATTAAAGAAAGAATTATAAATGTCTGTCTTTTTATGCCTATAATAGCTACTAACTTGAATTTGTATTCAAATAAAAAAAAATCTAAATATGATATTTGGCCTCAAATTATCTGAGGCCTGGCGCCCCCCCTGCGATCTTTGGCGCCCCCCAGGTTGGGAACCACTGCCTTACGGCATCAGAAATGCCTGTAATGCCCCTGCTACTACAATGACGTAGTGTGTATTATAAAACGGACAAGTCAAATCAAGCAATCTGGTTGTTTCTTAGCCGTGATATAATGAGCGTATATCACGGGTAGAATTGTAGTTACTTTTCACAAGTCAGTATCCCTCCGCGTCTGAGAAAAGCTACAACCGTTACAACTGTTACATTACGTCTGTTACGAAACTAACTAACTAACAAAGCTCAGATGGAAATATTTAAGGTTAACTTGGACCTCCGGGGGGGTCTCACTATGGAGGAGTGGATTGAGGAGTGCCTATCTCCAGAAAAAAAAGCACCTAAGCGACGACATACAGAGCTACGTGAAGAGCAGGTAGACCAACTGGAAAAGTACCACCATTCAAAAGCTTTCTGATGCGGGTCTTGAAACAAAGCAGAGAGATGATGACCGTTAGTGGCCACAGGTGCGAAAGCTCTCTCCAGAGCTGCTGGAAGCCGGATCTCGGGGACCGGAGAAAGTCGAGCAATATTCTCGCCACGCCAAGCAACAGCCTAGAACAGGGGTGCCCAACCAGTCGATCGCGATCGACCGGTCGATCGCGGGGAGATTCCCAGTCGATCGCGAGATGTGTCTAAAAATAGAACAACAATATTCTGTTTTATCGTTAAATTAATGTCCTGTAACATAATCTTCCTGTGCCAGAATAATGCACTTGAACGCATCAAAGCTTTGTGATTGGCCGGCGTGACCCCATGTGTGGCTGGCCGGCGTGGCTGGTGAGCAGTGGGCAGTGTGCACTAGTTCGCTAACGTTGTTCGTGTCAACAGGAGTGACAGTCCGCACACACACAAGACCGCAATTATGGCAGAAGCAAAACATATATAATTCTCACTCCGAGTGGGAGGATGATTATTTTTGTATCTATTCCAATTCAAAGTCCATCTGTCTCATCTGCAATGCGAGCGTGGCTTTATCGAAGAAGGGTAATTTAGGAGCGGCATTTCAAAACAGTGCACAAACGCTACGAGACGGAAATCCCTCCTAATTCTGCCCTACGCTCCAAAAGGGGAGGGGCCTGAAAGGACAGCTAAATGCACAGCAGTCCATTTCACCAGGCCCAACAACAAGAGCAAGGCTGCTACCATAGGCATAGCATCTTAACGTGTTAGTCACGTTCTTGCGAAACACATGAAGTCTTTCAAAGACGGCAAAGTTGTGAAAGAAGCATTCCTGGAGGCTGCGACGCGCTTTTTGGGGACAGTAAAAATAACAGTAGCATTTCAACAGGTTTTTGATATAATAAAAACTCAAGTTAGATACCGTTATTAATCAGCTGTAAGTTTTAGTTTGTTTGAACTTATTCATTATAATTATTGTACACAATGGTATAAGAATGCAAACATTAAGATCTGTTCTGTTTAAATTGATTATAGTCTATTATCAATTCAGGTTAAGAAACTAGTGTTGCTTGCATCCTATTTTAAAGGCATTTCTTTTTATAATCTACTAAAATGCAACAAAAAAGGGTTTGATTCTATTAATTTTGTCTTTTTTATTGCACTTTGGCAGCAGATTCCTGTGTAGCTTCAGATCTGAGTTGTCTTATTAGTAAGCCTCATTTATACTTTTGTAGCAACACTATTTTTATATAATGGCAAAGAAAGGGTTCAGAGTCTTTTCTTTTTTCCCTGTGTCATCTGTGGCAGCACTGTTCAATGCTTCCTAAAAACATTACCCACTGTAGTGACGTGTGAATAAACTCCAACACTGTTGTGTAACTTCAGTAAATACTTGTATGTGTGTAGATTAGAAAGAGGTAAGATAAAGGATCTGCAGTATTTTATGAAGTATTAATCGTACAAAGGTCAGTTTTATACAAGTAGAAGTGTGTATTTTCCTGGTAGTAGGCTGTCAGTAATGGCTACGCCTCTATTTGGACTGATAGATCTCGGCAGACTGGCAACTTTAAAAGTAGCTCTCGGTTCAAAAAAGGTTGGGCACCCCTGGCCTAGAACAACCTCAACCTATACAAGTAACCTCGTAAGCCATGCTGCTGATGCTGGACAGGTTTTCAGTGGGTGCACAATAAACGGCAACATACACATTAATGTAAATAAATAGCAAATAATCGATCAATGCTCTCTGTCTAATATGTTCGCTAGCTGTTAGTGTTGTTGCATAGCAACCACCTCGCACTATGTTTTGTGCTTCGCGTCGGGCCGAACCACGCCCCTTAGCTGTGATATAATGGCCATATACCACGGCCTGTCGTGAGCTATTGCTTAAGTATACACTTCATACAATATGATCAAGGTCAAGTCCCCTAAACGTACCATGTTATCCTGATTAATTTGTATATTATTTTCTCCCCTTAAAGGTGGGGTAGGTAAGTTTCAGAAACCGGCTCGAGATACACTTTTTGTTATATTCCATGGAATGCTCTTAACATCCCGATAGCAATGAATATCTGAAGTGCTTTGATAAAAAATCCATTAAAAAATGTCATCTGTGGAAGCCGCGGCGCTGTAAAAAGCACGACCAATCCGTTTAGCCGCCTACCTGCCTGTCAGCCTTCCATCGGGGCACAAACTTATCTCGTGCCCTCATTGGTCATGTGCGCGTTCGTGTGTGTTGGAGGAGGGGCTCTGTGAGGAAGTGGCAGATTTTCTCCGGTTGTGTATTTTAAAATTCTAGCGATCTCGAGCCGGTTTCTCAAACTTACCTACCCCACCTTTAACTGTTATTATTTATGACTATGCATGTTTTCTTGTTGTTCTTTTTGTCTGCTGTACTTAGTGTTTTGGTCAATTATCTCTGTATTGGTTTTGCACGACGACCAGTCTGTGTACGCTGGGTGTACTAGTAACGTCTCATTTTCGATGCAGAAAGATTGTAAGACATAAAGTATGTAAATGTTGCAATTCTGTATGATTGTGCTTATGATGTCCAAATAAAAAATAAGTAAAAAAAAGAAAATAAATCACAATATGGAATAGTGCATGACCACATTTCAGAAATAATGTGTTTGGATATTATCTTAAATAACGTTGTGTGAACTGTGTGTGAGATTAGATGCACGTCAGAAAACTCTATAAAAAATACTATTCTTAAGAAAGTAACCGACACGATTACAGAGACACTAGAAAGTGTTACAATTGAAGTCTGCTAAATAATAATATTGACTTGTACATGAGTAAATTGCAGAAAGCACAATATTTTTAAAAGCCAAATATATGTGTTTAAATATTATTTAAATAAAGTTTTGTGGAGCTGAAGAGATATCCCGATATACTACAAAACATGGTACAGATCCTACATTTATCTATTTAACTAATAACACCATGATCATTTGACATATTTATTTAATACAAATAATAATGAGGGTTAGTAACACCTACGTCACTTCGGGGCAAACATTACGGCCCCGCCCACTTTTTTGGGGGAAAACAACGCTGTCATTTGAACGGCGGTCAATACAAATTCTGAAGTTTTTGCCAATCCGATCAAATCTTTTTGAAAACCGTTGATTTGTGGATCTTCAAAGAGCTCGATTACGATGGCCAGTCAGGCAAACAATTACATTCGATCATTGGTAATCGACAATCGGTCTCGATATATGGTTAAATTAAAATCAGTAGGCAAGGCTGTCATTTCTCCAGCTGTTACTCTCATGAGCGAGGCGGAAAATAATAGTTTTAACATGCCAACAAGCTGCTGTGTCGTTTATTGCACCTCAAACATTAAAATTAATCAAGAGTTCAGTGTTTCTGAACTTCCTCTAAGAAGAAAGGACAGTAAGAGAAGAGCTCTGTGGCTTCAGGCTCGATCGCCGTTCAAATGACAGCGTTGTTTCCCTCAAAAGTGGGCGGGGCCGTAAAGTCACGTAGATGTTACTCTCATCTATGAAAATCGATAGCCTACTGCTATATTTAACCATATATCGAGCCCGATCGTCGATTTCTAATGGCTTAATGCAATTGTTTGCCTGTCTGGCCATTGTAATCGGGCTCTTTGAAGATCCAAAAGTCTCCGGTTTTCTTACATTTCTGATCGGATTGGCAAAAACTTCAGAATTTGTATTGACCGCCGTTCAACTGACAGCGTTGTTTTCCCCCAAAAGTGGGCGGAGCCGTTATTTTTGCCCGGAAGTGACGCATTTGTTACTCTCATCTATATCATGAATCATATCGAAATGTGTTATTTTTTCCATATAAGATAAGAAGTACTTTATTGATCCCAAGTTGGGAAATGTTTGTGCTGCAGCGGCATAAAAAGACATGGCATTGTACAAAACAAGAAATAAACGTTTAAAAATGTCAACATATCATGCAGCCCTATTATGATTCTCGTACCTCTTCAGATAAGAAGGCAGGTTCCCCCATGGAGGCGTTCACACACGGTCCAATGTTCAGTATGCTGTCACACACCTGTATGAACACACAGAAAATAAGTCACATTTATAAAAGAACCACATTTACATACAAAAACAATACTTTGGGTTGTTGTTGTTTACCTCAAAGGAGTAGGTGGCCAGCTGAGTGCCTGACTGGGCCTCACTTCCATACACTTCTATCTCATCCACCTCATCTGACAAAACAAGAGTGAAACACACATTAAACACACATCTCTTTTAGATCAAAATGTTGCAAGACTAAAATAGCTGGGAGCTCTTAACTAAATTGTTGTGCTTTCATTTAATCTAGAGCAGCGGTTCCCAACCTGTGGGCCGCGGCCCCCTAGTGGTCCACGAAGGCATTGCAAGTGGGCCGCAAAATAATTTGCAAAACTATAGGCGCTTTCACACCAAGTACTTTTCCCAGGAATAGTTCCCGTAACTTTTATTTCCTGGAACTATCTAGTAGATCGCATTCACACCGGAATAAGTTCCTGAGGGAAGATTACGCAAATGAAGCCGCTGACGTCACTTCTTCTTCTTCTGCTTTGGGTTACTGGCAGGCCGCAAACAACTTCACGGCGTATACTGCCACCCGGAGTCCCCGGAGTTGGGGACTGGCAGCAGCTTCTACTGAAGCCTTCCGAGTAAATCGCCAGAACGCCGACACCTCCTCATCTCCACCGCTCCCATGTTTTCTTTTGTGTTGCCATAAGTTAGTCTCTCTCTGTTGGTGCGCTGGGCTAATGCTAATAATGCTAATGCGAGCAAATAAAATGGCGGCTTCACAAAATCTTCTCTGAGTTTTACGGGGCGTGGTTTGCAATTCGCCCAGCCAATCAGAAATGGGAACCTTTTCCTCCCCATGAAAGTACCACCTCTCTAGCGGGGACTAAAAAGGGGGGAAAAGGTTCCCGAAAAAAAGTTCTAGTTCCAGATCTTTTTGGTGTGAACGCAAAATCCCAGGAACTATCGGAACTATTGCTGGGAAAAGTACTCTGGTGTGAAAGCGCCTATTATGATTTGTGTGATTTTTTTTATTTGAACCTCTTTGTGTCTGTTGATTGTGTATATACATATTTGTAAATATTACACGTTAGTTAGACGCTTTTATCCAAAGCGACTTACATACTCAATACTGAGGGCAATCCCCACAGGAGCAATTTGGGGTGAAGTGTCTCAGGGACACAACGACATGCTGACTGCAGTGGGGTTTAAACCTGTGCCTAGGGATGCATATCGTTGACTTTTTTACGATACCGATACCACTGAACGATACCGATACTCAACCGATACATATCGTGATACTTTGAAAATGTATCATCCCACAATTACTCCCATGAAGCGCTTTACGATATAGTTGACATGTCAAATGAATATTACATTCAATTGTGGGACTTCTTGGACCTTTTAGTTCTGAACAAACAATGAAAGATACATAACAAATATGAAGAAAACCGATTATGGAATATCTTTTATAACACCCGCCATCAGGTGTGCCGCGTGAATAGCACATCTTGTCAATGCAAACAGACATTTATAGCACCGTTATAGTTAATGTTAAACCTGAGATTCGCCTAGAGAACAAATAAATAATAGAAAACAAATCCCATCACAGTTCATTTGTGGGACTTTTACCTTTCTAGTATTGAACAAACAATGAAAGATACATAAAATATGAAGAAAAACGATTATGCAATCTAATTTATAACACCCGCCATCACGGGCCACGGACTCACTTTTAAAATTAATTTAAAAATTTTTAAAAAGCCACCAGTAACCGGTATTTCGGTAATACCCCCTGATCTGAACACCAGCGCACTAGTCCACCGCGCCACATGCCTCCCTATATATATATATATATATTTGTATTTGGGATTGTGGGAAACAGTATTTCGATCTCTCTGTCTGTCCACACAAACTGAAAGATTGACAATAAAGTTGACTTTGACGAACACAGTGTGCAGATCTTTTGTCTGATTCTTGACCTAGATGTTTTTCTGTAATAACATTGTTCCTGCATCATGTTTACATATCAGATTTGAACATACCTGTCCAGTTGGCGGAAGATTCTACTCGCTTCTTTTTGTTCGGTGGTTCTTCCTGGAATTCAAAAAGAAATATATAGTTTATAGGCTATGTTTAAGCCGGTAAAATAAAATGCAACGAAACACCTTATACTTTTAACTCATTCCGCAACAACATACGCACTTCGAAGGTGCTTCACAACAAAAGGCTGCATTTAAACCATATTCTACGCACTCACAAACGTACCGGTTTGTCTTTATCCTTCTCTTTGTCCTGATCCTCGTTGCCCTCCTCAGGTGGCGTGTCCTGAAGTTTTTCGGTGTACTTTAAGAGCAGCGAGTTTCCGAGGCGGGAACCCAGGAAAAGGTAGCCGGCCTCCATGGTCACCATCTGGAGGAGGACGGACATGAGTGTGAGAGGTATTTCGTTTCATTTGAAAACCCCTGATTGCTGGCAGACTTTTAGATATTCATTATCAAATAAACACCCAAAAAATATCAGCCAGATATAAAATAATAGCTATCGGTTTCGGTAGGTATGATGCTTTTAGGGTTTCATTTAATAGGCAATACATAATTGGGGGTTTAAAATGTTAATTTCTGTAGAATTGAATCCTAAAGTGCAAGTGTTAGTTTCCACTGTTGGCTTTTATTGTGCCGTGCCAAACCCGGCCCGTTTTTTGTTGCGTTTCCACTAGGGGTAGTTCCGGCTAACGGGTACTTTTTCACAGTTTTCTGGCCATCCAAAATCGAGGTTCTTTCCGGGCCAACAACCGGGCTGAGTATGCTAAACTAGTGAGAGAACCGCTGGCTCGGGAGCTACAACTACAACAAAATGAACATATTTGACCGTGATTTAATTGTAATACACGTTTCTAAATGATGCCGACGTAACAACATACTGATACCGGTTAGTAAAAACCATGAATTAATGCTTTGACGAGTCTGCAGACAGACGGCAGAGAAACACCCTTTTAAAAAGCGTGTTTTCTGAATGGAGATCGGCTAAGCTAACGGTGTATATGCTCCGACCGTCCACACTCACAACAACGGCCTACAGACATAAATAAACCAGCGACTGTATTCGCCATGACACAGGCAGTCTGTGGTTTGTACTTGTTTAACTTCTGTCTAGTTTCTGAACAGATATGAGGAGCTGTGAGCTCTGAGTGCTAACAGCTAACGGCTGATGTTGGTTTTGTGTTTTGCATTGAAGATGACGTCACGGCTCCGCCTACACTGCGTTACTATAGTTACTGCCCCATTTCCTAAACTGTAATGGAAACGCAGCATAAAGTGAGCCTGGCCTACCAAGACCTAACTATACCGTACTAAGCCGACGAGGCCCTGCAGTGGAAATGCGCCATTAGAGCCAGTATTTTGTTCTATCGGACAGGCCACCTAATTGTGACGTCTGTACACTACAAAAGACTACAATTCCAACGGCGCCTCCTCTAAAGTGACAGTGATGGGCAGAAAGACGACGTCGAGGCACCGTTTTTAACCGTACAATTACTCTTTAATTTAAGTTATATAAGCCTGGCTTGAAAGAAAAGGAAGGAAGGAAGCCACGACACAGAGCATTGCTTTGCTTCGATGCTATAACTCGTGTCTGTTTCTCGAAACTGGGAACCGCCATGAACTGTAGGTTATACACCAACTATATAAAATAACCCACCGTTTAATAACCCAAGTATCCCTTTAAGACTTCCAGAACTTACGCAGGTTGTCAGGACGCTGGCAGCAGCTTTGTCGAAGTGGAAAGCGCGGACACTCCTCATGCCGTCAGTTATAAGAGTCAACACGTAACTGCAACACAACAACAACAAGTCAGTGAAGAATCATTAAACTGCCATCTGTGTTTATGTAGATTCTGTCGGGGATTACAATGACTTACATTTCTCCTCCTTTCAACGAGATGACCATCTTGTCATAGGCGATAAAGTCAGACTGAGAGCAGTCGAGTGAGATCTTCACTTCCTCCTGAACACCTGGGGACACAAGACACAAATCAAAGGGATGAGGACAGCAGAATGTCAAATGATATTTAATAATGAGGCCAGATATCAGAGGTACAGGTATAGTTAAGATAAGATGGAACTTTATTTATCCCCTTGGGGAAATCCAGGCGTTAATAGCAGCAACAGCGTCAGAATGAAAAACAGGATTCACACAGGGCAAACATAAAGTGATAAGTAACTATTAGAACAAGATATCACAGTAAAAAGCTGTGCATTTGTTAAATATATTTACATAGTTGTGTTTTACAGCTGATAATACTTACGCAGAGGAAATGCTGTGGTTCCATTAGTTTGAGAGTTGAGAGAAACTCCATAAGGAGGAACACTCTGGTTCAGATACAGCAAGGAATTCACAGCGAACACCACCACACCACCTACAAAAAGAAATTCAATGTTATAAAAGAAGCTAACGCCGCAACACAGCTTGCCACATAGTCAGGGGTGCACATCACTTGTTTGCCCTGGTTCTCAAAGGAGCACCTGGAGATGTTGCTTGGTGCTCATCCTTAAAATGAAATAACCCGTAACTTTTGAGGGGTCTTGACTTTATTTGTCAGACACACGGCACTGAACACACATGCAGAGGTGAACACAGAACACACATACAGAGGTGAACACAGAACACACATGCAGAGGTGAACACAGAACACACATACAGAGGTGAACACAGAACACACATGCAGAGGTGAACACAGAACACACATACAGAGGTGAACACAGAACACACATACAGAGGTGAACACAGAACACACATACAGAGGTGAACACAGAACACACATACAGAGGTGAACACAGAACACACATACAGAGGTGAACACAGAACACACATGCAGAGGTGAACACAGAACACACACACAGAGGTGAACACAGAACACACATACAGAGGTGAACACAGAACACACATGCAGAGGTGAACACTGAACACACATACAGAGGTGAACACAGAACACACATGCAGAGGTGAACACTGAACACACATGCAGAGGTGAACACTGAACACACATACAGAGGTGAACACAGAACACACATGCAGAGGTGAACACAGAACACACATGCAGAGGTGAACACAGAACACACATGCAGAGGTGAACACAGAACACACATGCAGAGGTGAACACAGAACACACATACAGAGGTGAACACAGAACACACATACAGAGGTGAACACAGAACACACATGCAGAGGTGAACACTGAACACACATACAGAGGTGAACACTGAACACACATACAGAGGTGAACACAGAACACACATGCAGAGGTGAACACAAGACAACATTAGCACGACCAGTAATCCTACAAGCTGTCATCACTACCCTCCTGACTGTTCTCCTCTCTGTCTTCCTCTCTGTCAGACATGGTAGCTGATGATGTAGGCCTACTACTTTCTCTCTGGTTGAGTCTGCGATTAGCTGCTCGCATCCACAAGTCAACAGCTGGGTTTGGGTCGAAAGTCTCTGTTGTCATCTTAGACAAGTGGATGTAATCAAATAAGTATGTGAACATAACCAATAACCTACCATAGCCAATAACAAATGAATGTAACTTATTTTATTTGTGTCGTTCATATCTCTCCAGTTTTAAAGGATATTTTTGGTTGCTGTCCTATAGTATGCATTGGAATGATTTAAAACCTGTTTATCCCAATAATTATAAAGGAGTGCCTTGGAAATATGTGTTTACATAAATTGTGACCAAACCGTTTGAACTTAGACTAAGAGTCCTTTACCTCACTGAGCTGTAGTTAACTCATCAGCCTCTCAGTCTGACTGGAGAGGACTCTCCCTCCACATGATTGTAGAAACATCTTCTTCTTATATCCGTTAGAGCAGCTAGCACGGCACCAGATTATAATAACAACTGCGCTGGTACTGGTGCACCCTCCCTCTCTCACTCGCATTTTGTCTGTGAGCTGCGGGCGCCAGATAAGCCAACATCCCCCATTTTCATCACTTACAGCGCCCATCGTACAGGGCAAACTAAACGTGTAACCGGGGTGAAAAGGGTGTTACATTTACTTAATTATGAATATTGTTACATCAAGGCCGAAAATTAGGATGAGCCCCAACGGTCAAAATGTTTTTTTCCCTCCCAGAACTGCCAGCGCAGCACCTCCCCAGATCTGGCGCCCTAGGCGAACATCTAGCCAGCGCTACGGGCCGGCCCTGAGTTCATATCATGGTTCATATGCAACTCGCAAATATCTTTCTCTCTCTCTCTTCTCTCTCTTCTCTCATCTCTCTCTCAATGTTGGTACGCAAATGCGCTTTGTTTCAAATGACCCAGTGCTCTTTTTTTGGCTGAGGTGCGCACCAGTTATGTGCAGCCCTGCACATAGTCTTATTTTAAAGGTCCCCTGTTATACTGCTCTTAATCAATATATCACAGGTCTCAGATATATCCAGAGCCTGTCACTGATTGGCTGAAACACCAAACAGATCATTGCAGCATTACCCATAATCCCCTCTGTTTCAGCCCTGTTTCCAAAGTGCTGATTCTCTGTCTGTTACTTTAGATGAAAATAAGGAGCCCCTCCCCACGCCCCTCTGAGAGAGATTTGGTTACAAAGAACTCAATGGTGCTCTAGGAGGAGATTCAGGTGATAAGGGGGGGGGGGGGTTACCTTGGTTGCTGATTGGCTAATGGTTACACAAGACAACACATCGTTATGACATCATACAGTGGCCAAAATCTGATCAGCTCATTTTCAGACAGGTTTTTATAGAAATGGATCAAAAAGAGAGAGAATCTTTGTTCCTGAAACTTTCAGAGTCTCTTTCCACAGAGGGGACACATGTTGATGTAGAAGAGACATGAAGAAGAGGGGACACATGTTGATGTAGAAGAGACATGAAGAAGAGGGGACACATGTTGATGTAGAAGAGACATGAAGAAGAGGGGACACATGTTGATGTAGAAGAGACATGAAGAAGAGGGGACACATGTTGATGTAGAAGACACATGAAGAAGAGGGGACACATGTTGATGTAGAAGAGACATGAAGAAGAGGGGACACATGTTGATGTAGAAGAGACATGGAGAAGAGGGGACACATGTTGATGTAGAAGAGACATGGAGAAGAGGGGACACATGTTGATGTAGAAGAGACATGAAGAAGAGGGGACACATGTTGATGTAGAAGAGACATGAAGAAGAGGGGACACATGTTGATGTAGAAGAGACATGAAGAAGAGGGGACACATGTTGATGTAGAAGAGACATGAAGAAGAGGGGACACATGTTGATGTAGAAGACACATGAAGAAGAGGGGACACATGTTGATGTAGAATAGACATGAAGAAGAGGGGACACATGTTGATGTAGAAGAGACATGAAGAAGAGGGGACACATGTTGATGTAGAAGAGACATGAAGAAGAGGGGACACATGTTGATGTAGAAGAGACATGAAGAAGAGGGGACACATGCTGATGTAGAAGAGACATGAAGAAGAGGAGGACACATGTTGATGTAGAAGAGACATGAAGAAGAGGGGACACATGTTGATGTAGAAGAGACATGAAGAAGAGGGGACACATGTTGATGTAGAAGAGACATGGAGAAGAGGGGACACATGTTGATGTAGAAGAGACATGAAGAAGAGGGGACACATGGTGATGTAGAAGAGACATGAAGAAGAGGGGACACGTGTTGATGTAGAAGAGACATGAAGAAGAGGGGACACATGTTGATGTAGAAGAGACATGAAGAAGAGGGGACACATGTTGATGCAGAAGAGACATGAAGAAGAGGGGACACATGTTGATGTAGAAGAGACATGAAGAAGAGGGGACACATGGTGATGTAGAAGAGACATGAAGAAGAGGGGACACGTGTTGATGTAGAAGAGACATGAAGAAGAGGGGACACATGTTGATGTAGAAGAGACATGAAGAAGAGGGGACACATGTTGATGTAGAAGAGACATGAAGAAGAGGGGACACATGTTGATGTAGAAGAGACATGAAGAAGAGGGGAAACATGTTGATGGAGAAGAGACATGAAGAAGAGGGGACACATGTTGATGTAGAAGAGACATGGAGAAGAGGGGACACATGTTAATGTAGAAGAGATATGAAGAAGTGGATTTTGGATAATAGGTGACCTTTAAACTAGGAGTAAACGACAAATGGGAGATTGATCTGAGCTCACCGATTGGTTTGGGAACAGGCATGACCTGCGTGCAGTCAAACGGCAGATTACTGAGCGACCAGATGACAGGATGCACTTTCTGCATTATGTTGAGGGAGATGGCCACGATGCTGCAGGTGTCCTGACGCACCGCCACACGCCTGGAAGAATGATCAGAAAACAGAAGTAAAACATTAAATCAAAAGTGGCATTCTAAGAAATGCAAAGAAAACCAAATGATGGCCATTTTAAGCTAAATAAAGGCATTACTTGCTTGCTCCTTGATTTGATAAAAAACAGAAATGACAAGGAAATCATGGAGCTCAAGCGAGATAAAGGCATTACTTGCAATAACCTTAATTTAGACTTGGTCAACTTATAATAATAATAACAATACATTTAATTTTGATAGCGCTTTTCCTGGAGCTCAAAGACGCTTTACATAAAATCAGAAACAGTACAAAGAAAACAAAAACAGTAGTCCTAGGAGTAGGTTGTTGATCAGAGTTTGAAAGCTAGAGTGAATAGATTCAAGGTGTTTATTGTCATGTGTGCTTAGCTACAGTGTAGTTATGACAATGAAAATCTTAGAAGGATTCAAGAGTGTTGGCCTTTCGGATGTGACTGGGAAGAGAGTTGCTACAGGAAAAAAAACCGTATATCTACTGGTTAATAAGAAAGGGCTTGTTATGTCTGATGTTGAGGAGCACTGACCCAGGCCATGTCTGACTGGGCTCAAACAGGATGAGCAGCGTCGGCTCGTAGTATCCGTGGAGGAACTTCATGTCGACGATGTTCAGCAGCTTCTCGTCCAGCTCACGGACGTCAATGATGTAACTCGGCAGGAAGTTGGATTTAGGACTGCAGATGAGATACAGAAGAGTTAGACAATATCACGTAGATGTGTGTAGTAAGCATTGAACAACCGGTACCGGACAATTGTTATTTGTTCCTACTCGGAACCGAGTTTGAACCCTGCCACTGCGCTACACTTCCCGCCCCCGTCTACAGTACAGAAAGCGGCGAGATGCATTTCCTGAATCGACAAGCAGAACCAAAACTAACATTTCTAAACGAACAATGGCGGACGAGTTCTGCCTTTTGTAAACTGAATTTATCTATAATTTGTCAATAAATGCGGGCGAAAAATGTCACTTGTCCGCCGGACAAGTCAATTGAAAGATCTACTTGTCCGATACGTCCCGGACGGTGGGACGTGTGCTTTTTCGCACACTGAGGTAAGCTAACATCATCAGGATAAAAGTGGATTTTTTTAATTAAATAGCCGTTTTCTGAGTATTTTTGTATTGTTATTCTTACCATTGATATACAATGAAGTAAACTACACATTCTTACAATTAACAGGGGTAGAACAGTGTAAGATTCCCACTTTTGGTTTAACCAAACCAAGTTTAGGGTTCGGTTTAACATACACACATTTACATTTTCTTGAAAGATTTCATCTCTGCTTGTCTAGCTGACATCTCTCAGTGGATGTCTGCTCACCACCTCAAGCTCAACCTTGACAAGACTGAGCTGCTCTTCCTCCCGGGAAAAGATTGTCCCACTCTTGACCTAACAATCAACATCGGCACCTCAGTTGTTTCCCCGACTCAGACTGCAAGGAATCTGGGTGTGACCCTAGATAACAACCTGTCCTTCACTGCAAACATCGCTGCTACAAACCCGCTGCTGCAGATACACGCTTTACAACATCAGGAAGATACGTCCCCAGCTGACTCAGAAAGCGACTCAGGTTCTGGTCCAGGCTCTCGTCATCTCACGCCTAGACTACTGCAACTCCCTCCTGGCTGGTCTACCTGCATGTGCCATCCGACCTCTGCAGCTCATCCAGAATGCAGCGGCTCGTCTGGTCTTCAACCTTCCTAAATGTTCCCACACCACTCCGCTCCTCCGCTCCCTTCACTGGCTTCCGGTAACTGCTAGAATCCACTTCAAGACACTGGTACTTGTTTACCATGCTGCGAATGGATCTGGCCCTTCCTACATCCAGGACATGGTTAAACCGTACACCCCAGCGCGTGCACTACGCTCTGCATCAGCCAAACGACTCGCTGCACCCTCGCTGCGAGGGGGACCCAAGTTCCCATCGGCGAAAACACGTGGGTTTGCTGTCCTGGCTCCAAGATGGTGGAATGAGCTCCCCATTGACATCAGGACGGCAGATAGCTTGCACACCTTCCAGACTGAAAACTCATCTCTTTCGACTCCACTTCGAGCGATAGAACTATTAACAAAGCACTTATATACTAATAAAGGGCTGGCTTATCTAAAGCCAGTTGAGTAGCACTTGAAATGTTTGGCTCTATGAAACCTGATGTACTTTATGATTCTGTTTTCTTCAAGGTTGTGTCTTCCTGGTCGAATGTACTTATTGTAAGTCGCTTTGGATAAAAGCGTCAGCTAAATGTAATGTAATTTCTGAATTTAGAAATAATCACACCTGCCTATTCTAATTGTCTTCCTTTCTAATATATTTGACAGCATTAACAAGCATCTGTGTAACTTTTCTTTCACTTGTAATGTAATCGTATGGACACGTGAGACGAATCAGATAAATGTTGACCCATGGCAGAGAGTCAACTATTTATTATCTATTTAAACGTATGTGTTTATTTATTTTCCTTTACTCAACTATTCTTGAATCAATATTTATTTTCAAGACTTAGAGGTGTGAGTTTATAATATATGAATTCCCATTGCTGCGACTAAAGGTTACCAGACCCGATTCTTACCTCTCTTAATCAACATGTTAAGATTATTGGAGCAGGGTTTTGAGATGTCCACCTCACAAATAATAATGAGATAGAAATTGATCAACCATCTCTTTTTGTTGTTGTTGTTTTGTTTTAGTTTTGTTGTGTGCTGTGATTCCAACCATTTGTTTGTCAATCATTTTAAATGTTTGTGTACTATTAATCTTGTCTTACTGTATTTTTCGAGAACGTAAAGGTGTGAATTGTATAATAGCTGCGATCTTGGTTATTATGTTATGTTGTGTTTATTTTATTTTTGTAACTCTGGCACAACAATTTCCTTCGGGATAAATAAAGTCTATATAATCTTATCTCTTATCTTAAACGCCTGATTTGTACCTCTCTTAAAGGTCCCATGTCATGGCCATTTCTACTGATCATATTTCCATTGTTGAGGTCGACTAGAATAGATTTAAATTGTGCAATTTTCCAAACACCCATTGGTTTCTCAGCATCTCTGTATAGTCTGTGTATTCACTCTGTCCTAAGCGGCTCGTTGGAGCTCCTGCCCCCCCCTCTCTCTGTAAGCCAAGTGGCCGTCTGCGAGACAGCGAAACCCAGCCCGAACACACACACCCGCAGCCTGGCTGGGAGTTTGTGACTAACAGCCTCGCCGCGTCCCGCCGTCTCAGGGAGGAGAAATCGGCGGAGCTGCAGCTGAGAAAAGATTGAGTGTGTGTGAGGGGTCGTCGTTACGTCACTTGGTTCCCGGAAGAAAACAATAGAAAAAGATAAATCCCCAACGAGGCGTTCTGGGGCAGCATAGACAGGTCTTCTCTGTGTTAGAGTTTTACTCTCTACAGGGTGTACTTTGAGGGTTTGTGACTCTGCAGACCGTTTACATGCAGAACAACCTTCATAACACAAGGGGACGGGTGATAACCGGAAAAGCATGACATGGGACCTTTAATCAACATGTTAAGATATTTTGTGCAGGTTTCTGAGATGTCTACCACAGAAATAATAACAAGAATGTAAAGTATAATGAAGACGTACCCTTCTCCAACTCCGCCCTCCTGTTCGTCAGTGATAGAGTCCTTCCTGAACGGCAACACCACCAGCTGGGTGCCGTAGACGAGCATTACAGCGCAGCGATTCTCCGGATCTACCCGGACGATGGGAATATGTACATTCTGCACAAAACCATCCTGAAAGTGTAAATAAAAACGTGTTAATCCCTTCTTAATGAGTCGGATAGAGCTACTATTTCCACACGTGTACTGTGTTTTGGTTTCATACTCTGAGCTCCGGTTCTTCAAAGTAATGCAGAGACAGAGACTTGAGGTCATGTGTCCCGGGGTCATACTCCACTACTGACAACTGGTGAGAAAACAAACACAACCCCACAGGTCAGTGAATAACAATTATAGGCTGTTTGAGAGTCAGTTTCAGGCCACATGGTAGTCAATGGTACCTTGGCATCTTTAAAACTGAGCAGTAGTGCATCTCTGTTGGCTCCGACAAGCTGTACGCTGGCCATGGACATAATATTTCCGAAGAGAGAAAAGGATGCCACCTGCTCCAGCTTCTCCTTACGAGGTTTGGCATCTGTATGAGGAGGAAAGAGTGAAAAATAAATGCACTTATTAAGGTGTTTTTTATTCATTAATGGTACAATATATACGTTGGGTATGATGTGTAGACGTACCTGAAGACTTGTCGGTCTTTGATGTACTCTGAAATAATGACATACATGTTACATTAAAGCTGAACTATTTTGTATTCGAAAGCTTGGCACAATGAAGCAAGCAGAATGAAAAAGAGACAGTTACCTCGACATCATGGATAATCCTGTAGACATACAGCTGAGATGTTCCAGCAACGACCAAATTCTTCTCCTTGCTGGATATGAAGTTGCAGTAGACAGAAAACTCCACCGCAGTGGGAGTGTGTGCTTGTCTGTAAACAGCATACATCCTGGAGAGGTTCACTCACTGTATGAGGGGAAAACTCAGGTCAGGAGCTCTTAACATCACTTTTAAATCACCACACCAATCGAGATGTATACAATAATCCTGTCCAAGTCTTCCTTCAAAGTAAACTGGAGTAGATATGTGTAATTGGATCAGTGAATAGTGTCAAAAGCCGACATGCCAAATGAAATGTAGCATTGCAGGACACCTTTCAATGCAAATAAAGTGCTAAACGTTAACGTACCATTCAAGCAAGTACTTAAGTACACATTTGAGGTACTTGTACTTTACCCATGGGCGTAGTTTCCACTGGGGACATGTCCTCCCCACTTTTCAAAATCTTGTTTGTGTCCCCCCCACTTTTCAAATGTGTTTATTTTTTTACGCAAGCGGTCATCGTCACAGAGGAGCGTCTGTGTGAGTGGCACGAGCGCATTTTGAGAGAGAGAGACACACACACACACAGAGAGAGAGAGACACACACACACACAGAGAGAGAGAGACACACACATAGACACACACAGAGAGAGACACACAGAGAGAGAGAGAGACACACAGAGACACACACAGAGAGAGAGAGAGACACACAGAGACACACACAGAGAGAGAGACACAGAGACACACAGAGAGAGAGAGAGACACACAGAGACACACAGAGACACACAGAGAGAGAGACACACAGATAGAGAGACACAGAGACACACACAGAGAGAGAGACACACAGAGAGAGAGACACAGAGACACACAGAGAGAGAGAGACACACAGAGAGAGAGAGACACACAGAGAGAGAGAGACACACACACACACAGAGACACACAGAGAGAGAGACACACAGAGAGAGAGAGAGAGAGAGAGAGAGAGAGAGAGAGAGAGAGAGAGAGAGAGAGAGAGAGAGAGCACACACAGAGAGAGAG